ACCAGATCTACCTTAGCAATTCGCTCTACTCACTGCAGGAAATGGCAGTAGTTTGTATGGACAAACCTCTTGAGAAATTTCTTCCCCGGTGTTTCCTTAGTTGTGCAAGGATTGGGAGACCTCCATTGGTTGATGAGCATCCTGCCAGGAGCTAGGACCTGAAATGAATCTAAACCCATGTTACCAGGGTTGAAGTGGATACTGAATGGCAAGTAGAACTCAATCCCAGAGAAAGGAATCTTCACTGATGCATTTCATCAATGTATACACTTACTTCTGTAAAGTAGGAATGACTGAAAACTGCACAACATTGATCTTTTTACAATTCTAGCTACAAATTTATTGACAATTTGAAAATTCAATGGTAAAACAAATCATAACAGTCGGCAAATCTTCTATTTTATTTTCTGGATGCTTGCATGTTCCTATCCTACAAGTCACCCAGACCCAATCTATCAGAATTATTTTACATTGTCACCCATTGAATTCCTCCAAGTCATGCTTTCCCTCCATGAGTTCTCATGTTAGGAGAAAATTTCTGGCGCTGCAACATTTTGTGAATGTTAGCAGTGGAAGGTAAAAAGTTAGAGCTAGAATAATTCTGAATGCTAGTATTGTTTTAAATCGCTGTCCGCTCAAAATTCTGGTTCATTTTTGAAGTGGAATTTTACTTATTACGTCTGTTAGTAATGTTGCAGAAGTTTGGATAAAAATCATGCAAAGTATTCCAGAAAACAGTTGTAAAATTTTGAGGGATTATCATAGTCAATGCCCCCATTGCCCCCATTAATTTCTGTTAACTGAGAATTGATCTTTCAGGTAAATTTGTATAAGTTTGGTTTAATAGCTCACAATTTTTTGGCAGATTGTTTGTACTTGCTGAGTACCATCAGTTTCATGAAACAAATGTATTCTGGCTTACTTCATGAAAGGTAAGGAACAAATTCTGTTTCATATCATAATTAGAGATAACTGTCATTCTGGTGTCATTTCTTTTTTGACATGAAGGAGTATTCTGAATTACAGTATGTTTCCTTGCTCTTTTTTGCATCACATTTCTTATTTTCCTCTCCCTTATACATGTACTCCCAAAAGATTTGTCTTGATTTCAGAGAAGGTTCAGCAGATTGCACCTTCCAGAAATGATTCCAGAGATGAGGGATTGTCTTATAGAGATTGAACAGTTTAGGTCTATACACTCAGGAGTTTAGAAGAATGAGAGGAAATCTAATTGAAGTGTATCAGACGCTAATGGGAATTGACAACGTAGACATAGAAGGGATGTTTCCTCATGTGGGGCAATCTAGAACAAAAGGTCATGGTTTTAAGATAAAGGGTAGGAAGTTTAAAACAGAGATGAGAAGAATTGACT